GTGACAAAATATAGCCACAAGATAGGAGGTGGTAGTGGTTATTAATTACATAGTATCTTTTGTAGTTAGTCTTATATGATTTTTTTTTTTTTTTCACTATGATTTTTCATTTCCATGTCTATATATTCATATTTTCTTCATATGTTCTTTTCATTTTTTGGTCGAAAGTAACCCCCCCCCCCCCCCTCATTAATTTTATATTAGAAAAATATAAAAATTTTAAAAGAAAACGTTAAAAAAATTAAAAAAATAAAATAAAATGACTTTGAAAACTAAAAATTGAAAATTTATTTTTTAAAAGCTTCATGACTAAATAGTACTAATTTTATGATTTGAATTCGTTAATCTATTTATTACAAAAATTAAATATAAATTTATCTTGATCGGATTCTATAAAAATCCAATTAGAAATTAAGATTAACATTATTTTTAATAAATATAAGATTTTCAAAATATGAAATATTCAAGTATAAGAAATAAGAAAATAATATAAATATGACACTAATTTTAGATTTAGAGTTTATTTACTTTAAATACATTTTGTTCCTAACACATAAAAAGAAACATTATTAAATAATAAAAATTTACATAATAAATAAATTCATCGCAAATTAAGATAAATAAAGAATTAAAACTTTTCACCTTGATTATTAGAAAAAATAAGGATTAAAATCATGTTATCACGTTTTACGATATAAAATGATCGAACTCGCCAAAATAGTTTTACTATAATTTTTAAGTAATTATTTTGAGACGCAATTAGATTGCTTTCTTAAGAAATACACAACATCCGCATAATTTATCTAATACAATAGATTAAGTATATGTTGTACGTTGTCTTAGGAATACAACAAAACTCAATCATCTTGTGAGTCTTAACAAGTTTGCACTACTTGTAAGACTTGAAACTCGAAATAAAATAATATTACTCTTACCTCAATATATATATATATATATATATATATATATATATATATATATATATATATATATATATATATAAAGAACAATTAAAACAATATGGTATTTTTTTTTTTTAAGTGGAAGACTAGAGAAGACAAAAGCAGAAGGAAATGTGCATAATATTTGACTAAGAAATGCAAAAATGTTGTTATATCCAAATGACCAAAAAAAAAATCATATAGTTGATGAAATTTAGCATTACGAAATCGTTTATGACCATTGCAGCGTTTTTTTTTTTTTTAACTCTTTTTGACCATTGTGAAACGGTTTTGTATTTAAAACGGTATAATAATAATTACTAATAATTTTGATCAAATTTAATAATATTTTTTTTATCAAAATAATCCAACAAAAAATAATCACATGTTAAGTTTCTTTTCATCGTTTTCACGTTCAAATCAATTTTATGAAAAAAAAATCCTATAAAAATGAAAAAAAATCATAATAATTTGTTGCAAGTATTAAAGTTGTGTTGTCAATTTATAATGCATGATCCAATCTGTTTTTTGTCCATTTCAAACTTGTCTTAAAAAAAAAAATCATATTTATAGGTGATGAAAAATAATCGTTTTTTAGCATTAAGAACCGTTTTTGACCATTGTAGCTTTTGTTTTTTTTTTTACTCTTTTTGACCATTGTGAAACGGTTTTGTATTTAAAGCGATAAAATAATAATTACTAATAATTTTGATCAAATTTAATATTAATTTTTATCAAAATAATCCAACAAAAAATAATCACATGGTAAGTTTCTTTTCATCGTTTTCAAGTTCAAATCAATTTTATGAAGAAAAAAATCCTATAAAAATGAAAAAAATTAATTAATAATTTATTGCAAGTATTAAAGTTGTGTTTTCAATTTATAATGCATGATCCAATCTGATTTTTGTCCATTTCAAACTTGTATTAATATATATACTTGGATTCCTTTCATCACAGTCAAGTTGTGCTTAGAGTAGATAGTCATTTTCAAGAATACATTTTTTTTTCCTTTTATTTTGTCATCTTTCTTGCATAATTTAATTAATTTTTACTTTTCAGATAAATTTTTATCAAGATTATTTAATTTTATATTTTTTCAATGCTATTGATTTTTTATTATTATTATTATACGTATTTTCTTTTACAAAAGTGGTTAAACTCATTACTATTAAGATGAGTTTCATGATAGAACCCATTTTTATCAAATTATGTGAAAAAGGAGGATACAACTTCTAGCATTCATGATAATTTTTCATATATTGAAGCATGATTTTAAATATAGTCAATGCATTTTTTTTATTGATTTATTTTCAAATTCGACTTGTATCCATTAAAATCTAAATTGACATTTAAAAAATTCGATTCGAATTCAAAAAATTCAAACCAATTCTCATTTATTAAACTAAATAGATCTAAATCTACTATAGTTTAGTCCAAATTACCCTGAAGTTTTCCCTCAAAGAAAAACTCATTTAATTATTAATTACAGCCTAAGCCTTCCATCGCTGAATTTACAATTTGGCCCTCTCAAACTAAAAAGACAATGATCATAAAACGAACCTAGAAAGAGCTACCGCAGTAAAGAGAGTCCCACGGAGAATCGGTGGACGGTGCAGCGTCTCAGGGCCGCCATCGCTACTATTTTACAGTTTAGTGAGAGCTTGAAGGGAAAGGAAGAAAAATACGGAAGAACAGACTGATGGGTCCTAAGCACAAGTGCCAGGTCTGTAATGAAGCTGAATCTAAGTACAAGTGCCCTTCTTGCCGTGCTCCGTAGTAAGCAACAAAACCACACTCACTGAATTGCTGTTTTCTTTTTTATAGGAATAGGGTTAAAGTTTTCTTCTTCTTTTTTTCTTTATATAATGGAATTTGTGTTTTCTTTTTTGCAGTTGTTCTCTTGTTTGCTTCACCAAACACAAAGGTATTTTTTTTATTGTTTTATCTGATTTTTCTTTATTTCTTTTTATTTGTAGAACTTGAAGAAACAGCATGCTCGGAAATATTATTCGAAATCCTAGGACGACTTACCAATTTATTTATTTATTTTTGTCAAAAGAATGAAGAGGATATGAAACTAGCTTTTTGGATTTTATTTGGAAAAATTTGACAGATGACAACTAAAATAGTTAGAGGCAGCATACAGAGTGGCTGCCATCAGGGGATGTTAAGCTTTCTTTTGATTTTACCGACGGGGGGCCTCGAAATATAAAAATAGAAAATATTAGAAGGTGTAGGGAATGAAGTTTTGCGTTTTAGCAGTAACGAGTGATGCGTGTTTGCTGATCTGTGAGAATGTTGTTGTAAACTTTGACACTCATTAGTTCTGAAGAAAAATTTGTCATTTTTATAATTTAGACGGGGGAGAAAAACCTTTCAGAGATTGAGGCATTCTGGTCTAATTTAGATAATAGATAAAGCTTACCAGAGTTTATAATGTCACAAATTTGTCATATGTACCGTTATTCATGGAAGTGGCGTGGAATCTGCGTATGGACTAATGTGAGCTTTAAACTAATGATGCAGAAACCCCTTGTGCAATACCAGTATCTGTGGAAGAAAAGCCAAGTAAGATTTTGTTCCTCAATGACATGTTGATGGATAATCTGATTTAGTGCTTTACTTCATGTTCTTGTCACTTTATGATGCTTTTCTTAATCACATACTTCCTTTCTCTCTGCCCCCTCCTCATATAGAGGTTGCTTTTAGCTTCAGAATAATGGATAATTTTGACAGAACTGAATATAACTGTCAATATACTTTGGGCTCAAGGAACTTCAATTTTATATGATATTTAATTCAAATTTTTCTCTGGGAAGTTCAATATTTAGAATTTTGTTTATTTGCTTTGAATTTGTCAGTTGCTGATTTGAAAGTGGTGGAAAGAAGGCCATTAAAAGTTGATGAACCGGGTGAGGTGCTGCTAAAGTTGCAACTAGAGTCTATAGGTATGTTCTTGCTAAAGGCAATACTTTCAATGGTTATTTACTGTAGGGGAGATAATTTGCATCAAAATCTTTTGTGGAGAAGCTTTTAAAGGAGGAGGAAAGGGACTGTATTTTATTTCCCCTCAATTTTTTCATTTTACAAGCAATTTTGTGAAGAAGCTTGAAGTTATAGCAGCGCAATTTTTATATTGATATCTGGGTCAATAAGTACCAAACTTGTAAAAACACAGAAAATATGAAAATTCGGACAAATTAGGACTTTCCAAATGCAACTGGTTCTCAGTTAGAAAGGTTTTTACAACTACGTGTGAGGTTTGCTCCTTGTTAGCCTTTCTTTGTTTCAGCACAGCATAAAATTCTTGAATCCAAAACATAATAAAAGCCTAGAGGAAATGGGTGCTTCGTACTAAGCTTGTACCTTATCAAAGTGCTCGACCTTTTTCCTGTTCTCTAAAGAGCAGCTTAACTGTTAAATAAAATAACAGGACATTTAAATAACAAATATCTTTGGCGTAAGTGTTACATCTTAAACATGGCAATGAGGCCATGAGTTGATAAAAGCAAGCAGGAGAAGTAAAAAGGCTACTCTGGGAACCAATCTAAAGTGCCTGCGAACCAAATAGGTGAATGTATTCGTGGTTTCGGCGATTACAATGTATACTGAAGGGATTTAGAATACCAATATATGTGTGAGGGTTCTGCCTGCTTGTTGATTGCCAAAATTTTATCTCTTGTTTTCTGGTTCATACTGTTCATATCTTTTCCTGCAGCTCCTTTTTAAAACAATCATATCTTTGATCTGTTCCTATTGAGATATGTGGGCCTCTTATTCCATGCATGTAGAAGTTTGGTCATTAGCATAGTGCTCAGTGTAATGAACCACTAATCGTGTCGGCATATTTTATCTGTTAATTTGTTAGTTGAAATGTCTTTGGTACGTGTTACTTCATTGATTATTGTTATTCAGTCGTAGTCGAATGGCAGAATTTACATAATAAATTATTTGGGAATATGCTTATGCCACACGACAGATGTTCAGATGTTGTCTGCTTAAGATAACTGGTTGGGAATCTTATAATTATTTTCTAATATTCTAATTTCCGAAACCATGACCGGTAAGATGCTCTCCTACGAGGAATTAATCATTATGTTCTTTGGTGCAGCTTCTTCCAGTGAAATACGCGATATTTTGATGGATGAGAGCCTTCAAAAGCTCATATGTAATATTGATTGTTCTGCAGACCCAGAAAGTGTAAGTACTCTAATTTCCACTTAAATGAGAGGAAGATATCCTATTAAAATCTGTTATTACTCCTGGATAGGAACTAGACAAAGCTATGGGAGTGGATGCATTCTGCATATTCACCGACAAGGTATTTACCTTGTATTACCGACTAGAGTTTACCATTCAGAGCTTTTGGTGAATACTTGATAATGATGTTACATGATGTGTTGGTGAAAAACACTGGAAGTCACTAATCAGTACTTGTTTTTTCTGTTCTCAGATTCTGTCTGCCATTGGTTCATGACTTGCCAGCATTCATAGCCAGCAGCAGAAGATATCACTTGCTAGAAATTTGATATTCTGTATGATGTGTGCCAGGAACTACTTGGACGACTTTAGGTCATGGTGTAAGAAAGGAGAAATTTTGTGCTATCATCTTGAGCCTGGGCAACCATTTCCAAAATTTGAGTTTGGCTGAAGCTAGAATATAACAGTGTACAGACAGCTTATGTAAGGATTCATTTTCGCGGCTCTACAATCACCTTGACCCTTGTGTCTTATTGGTTTTGGCACTAATGAATTTACTAATTATCAGAAACCTTGTTCTCTAACTTCTCACCAACTCACCAGCATAAAAAAAGATAGAAGAGGACGTCATGCTCTCTTTTATGTAGGTGTTTCTCTTGCACAGTAAATAAATGTTGGTAGTTATTTGTGGAGTAATATAAACAGGTATCGGCACTCTCGCAGCTCTCGACTCAGAGGTTTAAACCCAAGTTAGGGTTTCCTTAAATCAGAACGAAAAACAACATAGTAGATTTCGCACAGAGGCATCGTAGAAAAAATAATATAGACGGCAATTATTGGTCCGCAACATCATTGATCTGGACTGCATGTTTTGAGCATCACACAAAATATTCCATACCGGTCCGAGATATCCTATCTTCTATGGCACAAAGTATTCAGAACGAAAAGAAAGCAACTAATAGACCAGGATTCTTGGGGTGAATGGCCAAAAGCGTACCTAGGTGGCTGCCTATTGTGGACTCAAAAGGACTGATGATGCTATTTTTGCTGCAAGTTGAGTCGTTCTAGTTGCAGGACATTTCGGCTTCGTTACTTTATTCACAGGTTGAAATCTTCAGTTCAATTACTAACCTGAAGAGACATATCCTATTCCTTTCATAACACAAGTTGGCAGCAGAACAACGGGCAATGGGAAAGGCGTCTATCAGTGTTCTGCAGGCTGGGCCTGAGGCTAAAATATACATCTCATAGTTTAGACTTGGAATTCCTCGTATTCCATCTTCCACCATATTTCATTAGTTTGAATAAATAGAATGTTAAGATCAAGAAAGAACAGAAGCGGCACGAAAAATTCAAAAATAATAATAATACTAGTAAGAGAAAATTGGATTCTATTGGGGTGTAATAATTACATGTTAGCTGTGTTATGGTTGTATTAGACGGTTGAAAAAACTGCTCTCCGATGTTGCTCTCTCTGACACTACAAAACTTAAACAGGCAAGAGTCTTCCTAGGTAATCTGCCAGAAACTTCAACCTGCAAAGCACACAGAGCACCATCATTTACATATGCTCTTGATAGACATAATTGATACTATAATGCACTCCCAATCCGAGAGGCCAAGTCCAAATACAAAATGCAGTGCCAAGAGTTGTTAACCATTAGCCAACCAGGGAGTCTATTATCACCATACCACGTTACTCTTACAATATCATCCAGGAAAAGCTTGAATATCACCAAGAGTGATTCTTTCGTGCAACTTTTAAACTGAACCTATTCCAAGATCTTCTGGCATAACATTAACAACATTCATCCAGAATGAAAATGGATATGGAGAGCTGAGTAGCAAGTCCATATCATTCGGTTTTGATTGGTGGGAGGAATGGAAAAGTGAAAAGAGGGAAAGAGGGAAAAAAGAAAAGAAGATCGGTAGAAGTAGGAGAAATCCTGTTTTTCAGTCACCTGTTAGCTCTCTTACAAAAAAAGAGTTTTCTTGAGAACAACCTCATAGCATAAAACTCCATTTACTCCTTTCCCCATTTTGCAATCTTCTTTTCAGACCAAATTGGGAGGAAAAAACATGAGCGATCTATTCCATCACAACATAAAAGCCATCCAAGACATGGCACCATGGTCACAAGCAAAAAAACAGCGCTGTTACACCAACTCATACACTCCTATTTAAACTTGTTCCGTTAATTTTTTTCTGTATCCTATCTAATGGTTAGTGTAAAAAAATAGACATAAGATAAAGCAAGCCTACCTGACTACTGACTAGTGATTCTCAAGGTTCTCAGCTCCTCGACTGGTACTTGGCTTGCTGGCACTTGGCTGAGCCATTGCTTGGTTCTGTAAAGATAGGTGGGCTTATCAACAGATTAACTACTAATGCTTCTAAAACAAAATAGTGGTGGGGTGGCTTCGAATAAATTGAGCCTGAGCTTGCAATTAACTCAAAACATAAAACAAAATTTAATTGATTGGAAAAAATGACTGGGAAAGTTTTAGGTATCCCCACCCTAGACATGTCCACGAAGTAAACAAGTACAGGTTTAAAAACAATAAATGGAAATCTAATATTCAAAAATGGAACTCACGCCAGAAAATATATGGATGCAAATTTCCTTGTGTGTGTTTGTTCACATTTCGTATTCAATAAATGCCACCCATAATCAAACATGAAACAACTGAAGGCATGGCAATTTCTCGTCAAGAAGTAATAATGGAATGGTCACAAAAATATACACAGATAAAAGCTCTTGTTTAGTTGATGTAAAATGGGAAGCTTAAAAGGAGCAAGGAAAAATACGTACCTGTGGTGCTGGTATGTGCATTTGGTGGAGGCCAAGATAGTGCTGATAATGATCAGCAAAATTTGGGACTCCTGGTTGGTTTGGACTCTGTGCACCTTGTGAGTTTAGCATAGGATCTGCCTGGTTGGTTGCTTGGACTCTGGATGGATCAGCAGGGATGGGGGCCAAATGAAAGGGCAGCACAGGGAACCTAGGACCTAAATGAACAGCTGCAGCTGGCGTTGCTGAAGGCATACCAGCCAAAACATTGGGAAATGACATCATTGGACGATTCATTCCCATTTCCATGCCCATGCCCATCCCCATCCCCATTCCCATTCCCATCCCCATCCCCATTCCCATTGGCGGCATGTACTGATGAATGCCTGGAAACATCAATGGGACCATACTGCATCCCATGGACATCATCTGCAAAAATTAATCAGAATCTAATGTTTGCCATATCTAATGCATGAGCCCAGATTGCATTGGATAAAATTGAAGGCAGACCATGGATATACTTGCATGATAAAATTGACAATCTTTCTTTAGAGACTTAGTTTCCATAGTCAGAGTAGGGTCTGTAAACATCCAAACTAAAAGGACACATCAATTAATTATAAATTAACAACTGCTGAAAGATATCATAAAAATATGGGAAGCCATTGCGCAGAGACAAAACTCTTTTTTCCTTAAGAGGACTTCACACTGCCATTGATTCTTAAAATTACGACCTTGGAAATCACCTAATACTTATTGCTGTGCAAAACAAGAACTTGCGGAACATATCTAATGGCAGGAACAATTAATGCATATTTAACTAAGAATATACTTTAGTTGCTTCTTAAATAGAAATTCACAGTCTCTTTCTAAATTTCAATTGGACCAAACCCTTGACTTTTTCAAAATTTCATCAGATCATGGAATTTGTCAGACTTTTGTCTTTCTTTTACTATGAAAGGAGTCCTGAGAGAGGAAGAAATGTTGTGTCAGGAATTCTCTAGAACACAAATGGAAGACACAATACCGAGTGGAAAATACTCACAGTTCCTCTTCCTATTTTCTAAAGAAAAAGGAAAAAAAGAAAATTCATAAGGGCTTTAAAAAAAGATGTTGAATCCACCACCATCCCAACAAATAAGAATCCGTTAGATAACACTGGAGTGACGAACAGAACAACCTTGGATTGAAAGCTTGACAACATTTTCAAAAAGTTTGAAGTTCTTGTCGGCCATTTGGCAGGTCTTTGCGATACATACATATCCTCTAAACTTTTGAGAATGCATTTGGCAAATGGAGTTGCATGAGGAAGAAATGGACTTGTTAGAGAATAATATAAATCATATTCTAAGACTTCACTTAACGAGTTTAACTTTTTGAGTTGAGATGGTTCTTTGACATGGTATCAGAATTAAGCTTTTAGATTAAGATAGTCATTTAACATGATATTAGAACCTTGATGACGAGTTCGAATCTCACCACCTTCATTTCTCTTCTAATTAATTAAGCACAAGGCAACATTGGTCTATGTAAATTTTAAATCCAAAAAACTATGTAAGTTTTAAATCCAAAAAACTTTCATCTAAGGAGGTATATTAGAAAATAATATAAATCATATCTTCAAACCTTACCTAACAGCTTAAATTTTTAGGTTAAGATGGTTCCTTAACAAACATTCTCCTATAGCCATGTACTCGTGAACCGTGTGTCCAGTGAAACACGTGATACAGACAATGCAAGAACAGGATAACTGACTTGAGAGCGGTACAAACAACTCATCTAGATATCATCGTCCAATAATATAGAACCTTCAATTATAAAAACTCACAGTATATTTGGATGCAGAGTTATTTCAAAGCCTGAACATTCTTTCAACCTATTTGACATGGGCAGTTTATCGAAGGAAACCCCACCGAAACATAAGATAGGACATGTGTAAATATATATATAATGTACCTGGACTTGCAACTGAAGCGATTTCAGGTACTCAATTGCTTCGTCTAACATAGAAGCTTTGTCCGACTGAAAATTGGAAAGTGAGCAGAAAACGGAATATAAGGGACAAAAACGAGGTGAAGTGAAATAACATAAAATTTGTTCCTCAAAACAATGAGAGAACCTTGTTGCAACGAGGTATGAGCTCTTGCAAAGCCCTCATCTTTTCGTTGATCCGATCTCGGCGTCTCTGCATGGATGTAGGATCACTTCTTTTAAGGATTCCAAACCACATGAAAAGCAACCAATTCATCAACATTTGACAATAGTAGTAGCAGTACAAACCCTTTCTGATAGATTGTGAACTTCTGCTGCACGAGTTCTCTTTGTAGACATTGATCCACGAACTTGTTTCTTTGCATCAGCAGATTCAAACTCAGCATCCTTTAAGGGAAAAGAAAAGGAGATAATATAGAAGAATAATGGATGAAAGGAATTATGAAAATATATAAGATCTTTTGGACCTAAGAACAGAAAAATGCAATACCACTCCACACATGCACGCTTCTTTTATCTAAAAGACCTTAAGTGGATTCGGCATCTCTTCTACCCTGAAGAGGCACCAAAATGGTACAAAAACAATTCAATAATCCTGCAGCTCGATTTCCCGTACAAATTTCGAACTTGGAAAATTTTAAGTCTTAAATGCCATTCTAAAGCACCTGAACTGTCTGGGATTTTCTGCCCGACTGCCACTGAGTGAGATTGATTAACATGTAACGAATCCTTTGATTGCTGCAATTTCAAACCTGCTCCACAATTGTTGAACTTCAAACCATCTTACTATGATCTGTTTGCAAAACAAACCGCCCAACCATACTACTGATCATTAGATTGATGATCCACACCTGCTTGATCAAGCCCCATCCACAACTCCTAATTATATATTCCACAGTTCAATGCTACTTCACTCAATTACTTTTAACTAATATTTAATACCTTTTCAGTCCAATGGTCTCGATTAAAGCATTTAATTGCCATGCTTTGGGTGGGAAAACCTAAAATGGCAGAAATTTTCCATGTGAAGTAGCAGCTAAAGATGACACCACTATTATTTACAAAACAACTACTACACAACCATCCATGAGATCTATACATGCAGCCACAAAAAATACAGACAACCAGGTAGTGGGTCGACGAGAGCAGTCCCGTGGTAGCCGCCGTCAACCGGACGTCCAAGAAAATTAAATTGAAAAAAAAAACAACACAGTTATATATGCTTTCTAAAATACACACTTTTTCTTTTTCTTCACTCTATATGTTTGTTATTCCTCATCATCGAGACGTAGCCTCCACGTGTATGGACATGACTGAACATGAATATGCTCGTAAGCAGACATCCACCAAATTTCTAACATGCAATGCAACCCACGTTTTTTCACTTGAGAAAAAAAAAATCCCAAAGAAAAATGGTGATCACGTTTACCAACGTCACCTCCCCTGCGCACTATAGTCAATAGCGATGATATACCCACTTTCTTTTTTATTTTTTTCCTGTTATGATCATAATAATATAATATAAAAAAATAATAATTTAATGATGAAACATAAAACATGCTTGATATGGTAGCTAATACACTTACTTAACTCGGTAATTAACAAAAAACTGACTCACTCACCTCGCTGTGACTCTCGGCTTCCTCTTCTCTTCCCTTCCGCTTCCGGTCTTCAACTGGCGCCTTCTGCGCTGGCGGCTCAGCGCTAGCACTCGAGCAACTAGGTGATGACGTGGCTGTCATCTCACAAGTCGCCGTCATCGTCTCTCTATTCCCTGCGGGTGCACTAGAATCCGTACCTGCCACTGCAGCGCCGCTCGTGGTCCCGCACGTATTATCCGCAATCCTAGCAACAGCCGCTTCTGAAATTCTCACAGTTGTAGTATCATACGAGTCTACAACCGTCGATTTCCTCACCACGCTTTTCGAATTGGACGGTCCAGATTCCAAAACCTCTCTCCCACGGTGCCTCGCGAAGTGCGCGAAGTTCTGCACCACCTCCGCTCTCCTAGCCGGCGGTATCGGCGGCCTCGGAGCCGACACTGCCGTAGAAACGGCTGGATGAGGCCGAACTTCCGGATTTTGAGTTGTACTTCGAAGAGGAGGCGAGGCAGCGTTGGTGACCGTGGTGGTTGTAGTGGCGGTGATGCAGGGGGTGGTAGGATAGAGGAGATCGGCGCAGAAATCCCGCTCGAAATTGTTGTCGTTAAGAGGATAATGAAGCCAAGAGGCCATCTCGTCTTCTTGCATAAAGAGATGATGCTGTTGTATATCATGCGATGATTGGATCTCTCTAGTAGCCGTTGATTGACCGGCTGGGAGTACAGCATCTTCGAATTTAGACGGTGGTGATGATTTCCTGAGATGTCTTTGGCTTTGCATCACTACTTGGCCGTTTTGCCAAAGTAGCTCCATGAGCTCGTCGTCTGGCCTGTCCATCAATGGATTCAATATAGCAACTTTCGATTTTTCAAAAACCAAAACAAAAACAAAAAAGAACCCTAGGAAGGAAAAGGATTTGATTTCATGGCTTGTTTTTTAGGGCGAGTTAGGGTTGAAGGGGTGGGGCTGGAGGAATCATCATCCATTTCAAAATCAGGAACATAGTGATTCATTTTCTTTCTCTCTCCTATGCTTCCCTTCCCACTGCTATAAGCTTAGCTATCTTGCAGCTGCTACTAAAATTAAACGAGGACAAACAAAGAGATCATGTGAGCAATGTAATAAAGAAAAATGGAAGAATCGAAGAAGTTGGTGTAGAAGATTAGCAGGGAGAAGTTGAGAGAGACAGACGAGTTGACAAGTTGAAGCAACCGACTCAACTGTTAAATAAATAACATAGTAATATTATTACTATGGAAGTGCCATGGGAGATAATTGATCAGTTTGCAAAATCATGGAAACAATTTGTCTAGTATTTGCCCCCTAAGCCAAAACATAACTCAACACTGTAACACTAACACTGGACTGCTCTAACAGATTAATTAGCTGACGCTTTCTCCTTTTCCCATGTATGTCTTTTTCCTTCAGCTCTCGGAAGTAGTACCTTCTTTAGGGAGGGGAAAAGATTGAGAGAGAGTATATATATGTGGGGGTGTGCCTGCGTGTTTTGTCTCTCCTTGTTTTGCGATAACTGTGAGAGACTTGATTGGAAATTGGAAATTGGAAATGAGAGAGAAAAAAATTGTAATCAGAGTATTTTCTGTTGGCTGTTTGTGTTGCTCATGGGTTTTCTTCAGGTCAATTTGCAGCCAGCCCCAAAGATAAGGTCTCCCTCTTTCACACACACACACACACACCCAGTCTCTGTAGACTCCGAATAATGTGAAGAGACAAAGGCGAGATGGATTTTGGACGGTTTGAACCCTGTAATTTCATTTTTCTATATTTTCTTTCCCGAGCCTGGTACGTTTTAACTCAGGGTAAGTGGCAATTCATATGCAGCATGAGCTGAACAGGAGTTGCAGTAAATACAGCCTTGTTTTATCCGACACCAGAAACGTCAGCTGCGATCTATTGCTCCTTCTCCAAAACCATATTCCTCGTTTTGTCATCAGATGGATGCCAGGTATTTTGTTGTCCTAATCGATCTCTGTGTGCAGATCATTTGTTGTTACGTGGGGTCCCTGTGTACAAGTACCCATGTACAGACTAAAATCACTCACTGCAGCACTTCTTCTACTTGACCTCCTCGTTAATTCATCAACCGAGTAAATTATAAATTATAGTCCTTCTATTTTTAGAAAAAGAATCGATTGGCCCTTTCTATTTCAAAAATTAATTATTTAATTTTTTTAATATTATTAACTGTGTTTAATTTAATATTATTTTATTTTTTAAAAAAAAAACCGTATCTTTTCTCATCAATTCTTTTGTATTTTTTACTTTTTTTTTCATTTGTATTTCTTAAAACAAAAAATCAAAATAAATGAAAAATGAATGAAAATGATTAAGTTATAAGAAAATTTTAAAAAATAAAAATTAAATAATTAGTTTTTGAAATAAAAAAAGTTAATTAATTCATTTTGTAAAACTAAATGGACTAATTTATAATTTACTCTTCATCACCCTCACCTCACTCCCTAAAATCCAAAAAATTTCATGTCAAGTTCTTTCAAGGTTCTAATTATCTCATTTTCTACCTCTAAATCTCCTCCAATGGACATATACTTGCACTCATTTATATATTTTTTCAAAATACATGTTTGTTAGAAGTTTTAATTCCTCGCAACAATCATGATGATTTCAAAATTGGAGAAAATTTATTTGTTAATCAATTTATTTATTACTAAATTAACAACTTATTGATATTAAATAACTTAATTAAAAGATAAATAACACATATTTTCCATCGGGATTGAATTTCATAATTAACCAATTAAATTATAATTCGATTTCGTCACTTATAGTGGCATTACCTACGAAGGCAATCATGGCACGAATTGCTTGCTTTACCAATTCTAGTTATAATCTATCATTGCATTACTAAAAAAACGTTGTGTTATTTGGTATCTTTTTTTTTTTTTTTTAAAAAAAAAGGCTTTAGCTTCTTTTCATACTATAAAAAGGGGGAAAAAACACAAAGAGTAAACTAGTTACACCTGTATTCAATTCTTTTATGGCAAAAAAAAAAAAATGTTTAAGAAAAAATAATAATAAAGTATTTATAAACAAACACGGTATTTGATAAAACAGTTGCGAATATTATAATAATAATAATAAATAACCAAACATGTCTATATTCTATTTTCTATTGTATTTGGTTTCAAGTCCCCTTCACAAAATATTAATTTCTACTATATTATCGTAAAATAATCATTATTACTGTTTCAAGTCTATGTTTTCAAACATTATTATATATATATATATATATATATCTGCAAGTTAGAGCATTTGATTAACAGTTTTTAGTAAAAATTAATCACCATCTTCTTTGTTCTGTGTTTATTTTTGTCACCGTACTCTGCTTTGCAAATAACAAAATTATGGATAACGTACGATAGCTCTTAACTTTAATGCTCGTTTAAAATTGTTTAATCGTGCTAAATGATTGGAAGTTGCCCCCACCCCTATTAATTAATTGATTATTTTGCTTAAAAAAATGCTTGATTATTTAATTAATTAACGGTAAGCTGAATGTCCACCTAGTCCTGTTAAAGCTTTCTTTTATGAGTAAATTATAACTCAGTCCTTTTAGTTTCGAAAAACAAATTAATTAATTATTTTTATTTTAAAAATTAATTATTTAATCTTTGTGTTTTGAATTTTTCTTATAATTTAATCATTTTATCAGCTTTTTAATTAATTTTGATTTAAAAAATAAAAAAAAATGAAAAGATTGATGAAGAAAATGACATTTTATAAAATAAAATTATATCAAATTAAACGTAATCAACATTAGTAAAGAACTAAATAATTTAAAACTGATTAATTTATTTCTAAAAACTAGAGGGACTTTTTTATAATTTACTCTTTCGGTTTTGCCCGAAGAAGTTTTTTACTTTCTTGTCTATTTTCCTTTATAAGGGAAGGAGTGATAATCTATTCATGTTTCATACTCGCATACCCCACGAAATATATACACGCTCCATGTTGCCATACCTTTTGAATAAATCATACGTAGTAAATTATAAACTAGTTACTTGTATTTTTAAAATTAATTATTGAGTATCTTAATGAGGGCTGGCTATAGCTAATTTAATATAATTTTATTTTTTAAAAAATATCATTTTTCATCAATTCTTTCATATAGTTTTTTCTAAATTAAAAAAGAACGAGCATGATTGAGTTAAAAATATTGAAAATATAAGTATTAAATAAATAATTAGTTTTTTAAAATAAAAAGAATTATTTAATTCATTCCTACAGACTAAAGGAATTGATTTATAATTTACTCATTCATAAACCGAATAACAGCTGATGATGATTATAAAATGATTGATCGCATTGTCAAGAACAAAGTTCAGATTAGATTTATTCATGCTTGTGAATAAACAGTTGATTGATGGCTATTTAAATCTGAACAATTTGACTTAATTACAAGTGAATCCGAACCTGAATCCTTAAATTATAAGAGTCCTCTTCGTTTCAATAATTGCTAAATATGTACGGAAAACAGCAACTACGGTATGATTCAACATGAGCATGGAAACGTTAGGTATCGCAGTGCTGTCGATTTGTGCTTTAACTACAACGTTTTGTTTTGCTGTATTATGGTTTGAAAGCTCTATATATAATAAACTTTTTTTTTTTCAATTAAAATCATATGGTTAAAATTAGTTATGTTTTAAGAACACATTGATACGAAAAAATAATATAGGCTAAATCAGTACAAATTTTTTGTCTGTTGTTATTTCTCAAAGTTCTTTTCTTAACTATTGACAATTAAATATTAAAAAACAATTCAAAAATTGATGTTACTGACTTTTGAAAAATCAAATAAATGAATTTAAATATAATTTGTCAAAATTTATATAAAATCAAGTATTTTAATATAATACTATTGAGTTATTCATTTATGAATAATTCAAAAAGTCTATTAAATAGTTAAAAAATACTATAAAATAGTTGAATAGTATATGTGCCGAAAAACCATTAATCAGAAAACAAATAATTATTGCATGTGTACAAGTACAGGGTAAACTATATTTGCTCCCTTGTAGATGAATCAATGTTTACTCAGTGATTTAAAATTTCTCAATATTATCTCTATATTTTTTTTTTAAAAAAATCAATTTTATTCTTTACTATTAAATACCCAACAAAAAAGTGCACTTTTATTTATATTTTTATTATATTTTCTTTCATTTTTTCCTCTCAAATACTCATATATGTTATAACATCTCATAAAATATTGAGTTTTTTTTTTTTTTTTAAGTAAGATATTTAACGGTTATGAGTGACATTGAAACTTCATGGAAACTAAAATGGCAGTGCTGAAAAATTTTAAATTGGAAGGATAGAAGTAACAATGTTGATGAATCTATAGGAACGAAAACAAAGTTTATCCAAAAGGATACCGATAAAGGACATGCATTGGGCCCATGTTGATGTGTCAACATCAATTATCATATATATATATATATATATATATAAGCTTAGGTGCCAAATCTTGTTGAAAACTTCAAATGAATCCACTGATGGTGGGATGGAATCGAAACATCATGCCCTCTTCTTCATATGCTGTGTTCCTCAAGGTTGGAGCGTGTAATGTTATTACTAGTCATCCCTTGGAGATTCGCAAAGGAAATTTGTTTTGCATGTTGTTTTCTGAGAGGGATAATTGCACTATTAGTATACTAATTTTTAATATTTTTTAAATCTTAATTTTTAAAAAATTTAATTATATTAATTTTTTTTCAAAACTTTCAGTTAATTATTTTTCATCCATTCTTTGTCACTTGTTATTTTATTTGATGATGTATTATTTATCCTAAATT